CATACATACATACATACATACATACATACATACATACATACATACATACATACATACATACATACATACATACATACATACATACATACATACATACATACACACATACATACATACATACATACATACATACATACATCAACACATACATACATACATACACACACACATACACACACACATACACACACATACATACATACACACACGCACCGGCCATGCAGCCCAAAACGCCAATCTGCAGGTCCTTGTGCTTTGGGCGCTTGCGCTTGATGTGGGAGAGCTGGTCCAGTTTGGTCCACACTTTGGTCTCTGCGTTCTCGCGGATGGCGCACGTGACCAGCAGCACAATGTCCGCCTACACAGCGCGATCAGAGCGCAGCAGAATACATGAGCGAGGGAGTGTTGGAGAGAATACACGCGCGCACCAATGAAACGGCAATAATAACACTGAAAAGACAGAGTGCTGGGTGCGTTCCGCCCCACCTCTTCGACGTCTGTGGCCTTCTCACAACCTGCTTCCTTGAGGATGGACCATGCCAGCTCGGAGTCGTTCACATTCATCTAGTACACCAGCCAAGCAGGCGTGTGTGTGTGTGTGTGTGTGTGTGTGTGTGTGTGTGTGTGTGTGCATGGGCGGTTGCATCTATGAGCGCAGTTTTGTCTGAATACACACTCGCGTATGTGTCTGTGTGCACGCACACTCGCACACATACACGCACGCACGCACGCACACACGCACGCACACACGCACGCACACACGCACGCACACATACACACATACACGCACGCACGCACGCACACCAGCCAGCTGGATGCGGACCTGACAGCCGTAGGTTTGGATGAGAACACGCTTGCCGTCGAGGCGGCTCGGCGCGAGCGGGGGAAACGCTTGCTTGACTGTGCCTTGCCCCAGAGCCATCTCTGGCGTGGACCCAACGGAGCCATCTGGCGCCGGCATAAAGTCCTTGAGCTGCTTGAACGACTGTCGCCTGCGCTTCAGCGGCTTTCGCTGCTGTTGCGACTCATCTCCGCCAGTGCCTTTGGATTCGCTTGCTGTGGTTGTTTCTGTTGCCACTGCTTCTGTTGTTCCTGCTGCGGTGGTGGTTGCGTGTCCTCTTCGCCCCGCCAGTGCCAGGGCCTGTGCGGCAGCGCTCAACGGTGCAGCGGTGCTCAAAGCACCACCACCGTGCACTCTGGCCAGCAGCATGCGCAGCGCCATGTTGGTTGGTGGGTTTGTTGTGTTGCGAGCACGTTGTTTGTGGCTTTTCGCTACTCCTCCTATATCTGCTACTTTTTGTGCTGTCGCTTGCCTCAACTCGAAAACCACACCGCCCACCACACCACAACGACAGTCGTCAGCCCACGACGACAACACCCACCCTGACTGCCACTCCTCCCTCCACCATCCATCCACACAAGAGGCACACACACGCGTCTGTCCGTGCGACGTTGCTGTCTGCCCTCCGTCTTCCCTCTCCATCTCACCCCCAGTTGAAGCTTCATCTGAAATCACGTGGATCCTGCGGCGCCCTCCGCCTCCCCCCTCCTGCTTTTCGCTCATTGAGGTGTGGTGAAGCGCAAGTTTTGTTTTGATGTCATGTCATGTCACATCACAACAACAGCAGCAGCTGGTGTTTGTTTGTGCTTGTCAACTTGCACGTCTTGGGTGTGTGTGTGTGTGTGTGTGTGTGTGCGTCTGCTCTCCACGTGCTCCTCTGTGTTGCTCATGGCATCGCCTCCGTGTTTGCTCTCCAACTTTGTGTGGGACAGGTGGGAGCGCCGACACAGCGGGCGTCATGGCTGGACGCGGCCCCACAAATGCGGCGCTGAAGGAGCTGCAGCACCCGAGCAAGTTCATCCAACTCAAGGACCAGATTGGCAAAGGCGCGTACGGAAAGGTCTTCAAGGGCGTCCTGAAGAACGTCAAGCAGCTTGTCGCCGTCAAGATCGTGCCCATCATCGAGGATGAAGAAGACGCCATCGCCCTGGAGCTTCAAGTCCTGGCGAACCAATCCTCCCACCGAAACATCGCCCGTTTCTATGCCGCCTATCTGGATGTCAACCCAAAGGACGACATTCTCGGCGATGGCCTGCCCCAGCTCTGGCTCACCATGCAGTACTGCGCATATGGCTCTGCAACGGGGCTGGTCTCCTCCATACGCCGTCCAAAACCAAACATCCACGGTGGGTTGTGTGTGTGTGTGTGTGTGTGTGTGTGTGTGTGTGTGTGTGTGTGTGTGTGTGTGTGTGTGTGTGTGTGTGTGTGTATGTGTTGGGCGTGTGTAAATGTGTGTGTGTGTTGGGTGCTGGGTGTGTGTGTGTGTAGTTTGTGTGTGTGTGTGTGTGTGTTCTGGGTGTGTGTGTGTGTGCGTGTAGTTTGTGTGTGTGTGTGTTGTGTTATGTATGTGTTGTGTATGTGTGGTGTGTTGGGTGTTGAGTGTTGGAAATAGAGGCATGTTTGCTGTCCTTGTGACGCATTTGCGTTGTGTGCCTGTTTGTCCGTGTGTCTTGTTTGGTTGTCTGCTGTTGTGTCCCTTCAGTACAGACCATGCTGTGCCGTGCTTTTCACGCTCACGTTGCTGGTATCATGAACACGAACATCACACCTCAGACCCATCCAAGACACGCAAGCCGGGCTACCTGCCCGAGCCCTGCATTGCCTTCATCGCCAAGGAGTGCCTGCGCGGCCTTGAGTATCTCCACAGCAACAAGGTCATCCACCGTGACATCAAGGGCCAGAATGTGCTCCTCACACGCGACATGAACATCAAGCTCGTTGACTTTGGCGTGTGTGCGCTGCTGCAAGAGCAAGTGGGCCGCCGCGACACCGTCATCGGCACCCCGTTCTGGATGGCTCCAGAGGTCAGCTTGCGCCTTTTGTGTGAATGTGTGTTGTGTGTGTGTGTGTGTTTGCGTTTGTGTGTGTGTGTGTGTGTGTTTGTGTTTGTGTTGTGTGTGGTCTCTTGCGTGTGCATGTGTCTGTGACTGTGACTGTTTGCTTGTTCCTTGTGTTTGCTTGCTTGCTTGTTTTCTTGCGTGGCTGCTGTGCGCATGTACCCAACACTCACACCTCCACCTCCACCAACACCAACACCTCCACCATGCCCTCCTCCTCCCCACCCCTCTCCGTTGCAGGTCATCCTGTGCGAGACGTCGCCACCGGGAACGCAATCGTACGACTCAAAGTGCGACATCTGGTCCCTCGGCATCACCTGCATCGAAATTGCAGAAGGTACATGTGTTTTGCTTGCATGCGTGCTCTTGTTGCTGGCGTCCACCGAGTTTGATCAGCTTGCGTGCACTGTTTCAATCTGCAATACAGCCCGCCATTTTGGTTCACCCGCACCACCACCCCTATGCACTTCATCACCAGGCCACCCTCCGCTGCACAAGATGCCTGCCATGAAGGCGCTGATGAAGATTCCAAACCTGCGCGCGCCCACGCTCTCGTCCTCGCACAAGTGGTCGAAAACATTCCAGGACTTCGTCTACAAAGCGCTGCAGAAGAACCCAAAGAAGCGGCCACGCGCCCTGGAGCTGAGCACACACCTCTTTGTGCAGTCTGTGGATGAGGTGCAGGCGAAGGAGGAGCTGTTGAAGCTTGCGCACCAGGTGCTGCCGCCGCTACCTGATGATGACGAGCCAGAATGGTTTGGCGAGGAGGACGCAGGCGACGGCTACCACATCGACACCATGCTCTTTGACAGGTGGGCAGTGGTGCTATGATGAGTGGCATGCGTGCACGCTCTGGATGGGTTGCGTTGATGGGTTGAGGCGAGGGAAGGCTCAAGACATGCATAGATACAGAAGGGCCTTGCCATGCTTCATCTTGACATTCATGACACACACACACACACACTGACAGGTCGAAGAAGCTGCCGCTGCTGTCGAAGCAGACGGAATACGGGGACGCGGTGCGCTCAACAGACAACCTGACGGAGCTCAAGGACCTGGACACGGGCCGGCTCATCTCCATCTTGCGCAAGCGCTACAACAAAGACGTCATCTACACGCTCGTCGGCGACATTCTCGTTGCCCTCAACCCCTTTCACGACCTCGACATCTACACGGAGGCATACCACAACCTCTTCCTCACCACCACGCCTGTCAACCCGTTTCCGCACATCTTTGGCGTGGCTCGCCTCGCCTACAGCAACCTCAAGCACACGCACCAGAACCAATGCTGCGTCATCAGCGGTGAGAGCGGCGCGGGCAAGACGGAGACGGCAAAGTACTTTGTCAGGCACATCCTGCACATCATCGCCCACGACAGCACCGTGAGTCATGGCTGTGCTGGCTTGAGGAGGGTGTGATGGGGCGAGCTGTTGTGTTCTGTGTGTCGAGGTTGCATGTGTGCATGCGTGCGTGGTGTGTGTGTATGTGTGTGTGCGTGTGTGTGCGTGTGCATGCGTGCGTGTATGTGTGTATGTGTGTGCGTGTGCGTGTGTGTCTGCGTGTGCGTGTGTGTGTGTGTGTGTGTGTGTCCGCGCGTACTTGACTCGTGTTGGTGTGGGTTTCATGTCTGTGCTGGATTGCAACCCGTTGCAGTTGCTGTTTGCGCTTCTAAGTGTTCGTCCTGCCCTCTCCACTTTAACACCATGATCACCACCACGACCACCCCCACCACCACCATCACTTCGGACCACAATGCAATCAGGGCGTGTCAAACCGCAGCTTGGAGAAGCGCATCCAGGGGTGCAACCCCGTGCTCGAGGCTTTCGGCAACGCAAAAACGGTGTGTGTGTGTGTGTGTGTGTGTGTGTCTGTGTGTGTGTGTGTGTGTGTGTCTGTGTCTGTGTGTGTGTGTGTCTGTGTCTGTGTCTGTGTCTGTGTGCATCAATTTTCACAAAAGATGGCCCGTGCCCATGGCTTTCGGGCCACATTCCTCCACCGACACTCCACCTCATCATCCCCCTCCCCACTCCTCCTACCATGTGCACAGCTGATGAACGAGAACTCGAGTCGGTTCGGCAAGTTTGTTGAGCTGCGCATCAGCCCGGATATGCGCATCCTCGGCGCCACCGTCGCCCAGTACCTCCTCGAGAAGTCCCGTGTCTGCTTGCAGGTACAAGCGCTTGCGTGTGTGTGTGTGTGTGTGTGTGTGTGTGTGTGTGTGTGTCCATGCTTCCTTGCCTAATTCCCTGCCTTGCTGTTTTGCTGTTTGTTCTACCATGGTGTGTCTGTGCTTTCTGCTTGTATGCACGTGCCTTGCGCTTCCCATTTCGCCCTTCTGATACTCTTTCCTCTCCCCGCTGCGTGTGTGTGTGTGTGTGTGTGTGTAACAACAGGGTCCCGGCGAGCGCAACTTCCACGTGTTTTATTACGTCATCAATGGGTGGAAGGAGGAGTCGTACCGCAAAGCCCTCCGCATCACAAACGTGCGCAAACTTGCATGCACATGTGTGCACCTGCGCTTACTTTCTTCCTTCTCGTGCCCTCTTCCTACGCACATACTCACACACATACACACACTCGCACACACATACATCCTCACAAACATACACACACGCACAAACCACAAACTGGTGCAGGTGTACGACTACAACTATCTCGGCGGCATGTCACCCGAGGTGACACCGGACCACGACGATGACGACGGCCAGCGCGGCGGGAAGCGAAACTGGGGGAAATACAACAAGTTGGAGGGTCGCGGCCTTTCCAAACACACGCGCGCAAAGAACATGGAGAAGCTCATGCTTGAAAAGTACGTCGCAAACGGAAGGCGCTTTTGTGTCCTGCATTTTGTGTGGTGTTGTGCTGAATTGTGTTCGGGTACTTTCGTGCATGTATGAGAGTGACCTGTGCATGCTGTGAGTCGCTGTGGCGTGTCCCTGCCCTCTGAAACCCGGCTTCCCCTCCCGTAACACAAGCACACTCACACTCACACACACACACACACACACATACACACACACACACACACACACACACACACACACACACGAAATGGCGAGCAGGAAGTACCAGCAGATCCAGAAGGCGCGGTCTGGTGCTGAGCTTGAGGTCACGGGCCTTGAGAACATGAACATGGAGGAGGCCCTTGAGCAGTACACGGCGCTGCGACAGGCCATGCAGGACATCACGTTCACAACAGAGGAGATTCTCGAAATCAAACTCTTGCTTGCGGTGCGTTGCGGACGTTTGCATGGTCGTGTCTTGAAGCTGCGCTGATGAGCTTGCGTTTTGCTGTTGCGTTTGTTTCCCGCATACTTATCAAGTTCCTGTCGTTTGGCACCTTCTTACATCAACCTCCACACACACACACGCGCGCACACACACACACACACACAAACACACACACAACACACACACACACAACACACACACAACACACACACACACTCCTCCGCACACGACAACTTCCTGCTCTCCTATTGCTTGCCACCAACCCCAACCCCAACAACACCACAGATTGTGCTCCATGTTGGCAACATTGACTTCCGCGTTGCCGACAATGCGGATCATGCTGTCGTGTTCACGCCAGATGCGCTGGACCACGTTGCAAACATGATTGGCGTCGGCTCCATGGAGCTTGACAACGCCCTCACCACAAACGTCTCCATCACCCGCGGGGAAACCATCATGCGGCGGCTGCGGCCCCACCAGGCGCGCGATGCACGCGACGGCGCTGCAAAGGCCCTGTACAACCGCCTCTTTGCGTGGATTGTCACGCGCATCAACAACGTGCTCAATGCCGGTGGTGACACGCCGTCGCTCGAGATTGGCGTGCTGGACATCTTTGGGTTTGAGAAGTTCAAGATCAACTCGCTGGAGCAGCTGTGCATCAACATTGCAAACGAGCAGCTGCAGTATTTTTTCAACCAGCACGTGTTTGCCTGGGAGCTGGATGACCTCAAGGCGGAGGGCCTCAAGCTGGATGGTATCACCTTCGACAACAACAAGCCCATCCTCGACATGTTCCTGTCCAAAATGGGCATGTTGTCCATCATTGACGAGGAGAGCTACTTCCCAAAGGCCAACGACCAGTCCCTGGCCAACAAGATCAACACCAACCTGAAAAAGTCGCGTGGCATGTACGTACCGCCACAGTCGCAGCACAGTCCCATCTTCACCATCAACCACTACGCGTGTGCCGTCACCTACTCCTTTGAGAACTTCCTCGAGAAGAACCGCGACACGCTGTCCCCCATGATCGAGGCTGTGTTCTGCGAGTGCGGGGTCCCGCTGATTCGCATGCTCTTCCGCCACAACGTGGGCGCCACGGGCATTCTTGGCGAGGAGTGGCAGGCCGACGCAGACCGCAACCGCACCGCCACCATCTTTGCCTCGCTCACCCCCGAAGCCCTGGAGAACCACCAGCGGCGCGCGTCAAAGCCCATGCTGAACCGCATGAACAGCAGCCGCCGCAGCCGGCGCGACGACAAGAGCGGGTCCCTGCGCCGGTCTGCATCGCGCAAGTCATGGAAGCGGAGACGCAGCCGCGCGTTTATTGCGCCGATTGTGCGCCAGGGCGGTCGCAAGAACAAGCCGACCATCTGCGGGCACTTCAAGAGCTCCCTGGCAGACCTGATGAGCAAGATGCTCGCTGCACGCCCGCATTTCGTGCGCTGCATCAAACCCAACACACGGCAGGAGCCAAGAAACTTCAAGGAGGAGCAGGTCACGCGCCAACTCAACTACACGGGCCTCCTCGCCACCATCAAGATCAGGCAGCAGGGTTACCCTGTGCGCCTGCCTTTTGGCGAGTTTGTGCGCATGTATCAGATTGTGGGCTTTGAGCTGACAAAGGAAATTGCGCCTGTGGACGAGCAAGCCGCGTGCGTGCGCATCCTCTCGGAGCCGGGCGTCAGCTCGCTGCTGGCGAAGGTGGCGACCAAGAGCGGGCCCACGTGGCGCGGACAGGCGTGGGACGTGGGCAAGACGAAGGTGTTCATGAAGCACTACACGGCCGACGCCCTGCAGCAGCTGCTGGAGCACTTCCACCAGCGGGCGACGGTGATTCAGGCGCACGTGCGGCGGTGGCGGGTGCGGGGCCTGCTGCAGAAGCTGATTGCAGAGGCAAAGGAGAAGAAGAGGAGGGAGGAGGAGGAGAGGAGGAAGAGAGAGGAGGAGCGGAAGCGAAAGGAGGCCGAGGAGAGGAAGAGGAAGGAAGAGGCAGAGAGGCGGCGACGCGAGGAAGAAGAGAGAAGGAGGCGGGAGGAAGAGGAGGAACAGCGCAAGCAGCTGGAGCTTGAGGAGAAGCGAAAGAGGAAGGAAGAGAAGGAACGCAAGAAGCGCGAGAAGAAGGATGAGAAGGACCGCAAAAAGAACAAGTCATCTGCTGCTGCCGCTGCCGCCGCCGTGTCCAAGCCACCACCAGCAGCAGCCACGTCCCCGCAGTACCGCAAGCGCTCACGCGATGACGCATCTGCAGCAGCAGCTGCCGCCGCCGCCATCAAGCCGCGACGTACACACATCCGCGTGCCCAAGATGAGCTCGGCGGTGAGCGACAAGAAGGAGATGCTTGTTGCGCCGTTTGACAAGGAGGAGTTCAAGCACATCAGCATGCGGCTGGTGAAGAAGAACAAGATCCCGCCAGGCACGTCGCAGCTCAACCGATACATGAACATCCTGCCCAACCCGCGCACACGCGTGCGTCTGCAGCAGCTGGGCGAGGACAAGACGACAACATACATCAACGCCAACTACATCCACGGGTGGGACGGCGGCCACGGCTCGTACATTGCGACGCAGGGGCCCAAGCAGGAGACCATGGCTGACTTTTGGCGCATGGTGTGGGAGACAAACAGCAACACCATCATCATGGTGACGGGTCTGAAGGAGAAGGGCGTGGTCAAGTGTGCGCGGTACTGGCCCAAGGTGCTGTACAACGAGAAGGAGCAGCTTGGAGACATGCAGCTTGGGTACATGAACGTGGCTGTGCTGGAGGGCCGCAAGTCTGGCGGGTATGTGGTGACGAAGATCCGCCTGAAGAAGGACAAAGTCAAGGGCGAGCGCATCGTGATGCACTACTGGTACAACTCGTGGCCAGACCACGGTGTGCCCAACAACACCACCGCCGTTCACCACATGCTGGACACGGCGCGCAAGTGGTGCGACGAGCCCACGCGCCCGTGGGTCGTGCACTGCAGCGCCGGTGTTGGCCGCACGGGCACGTTCATCACCATTGACATTGGCATTCGCATGCTCAACCGCACGGGCAAGGCGGACGTGAACGACATTATTCGGGGCCTTCGCCGCGACCGCTGCGCCATGGTGCAGCACCCGGAGCAGGCCGCATTCGCCCACAAGGCACTGGAGGAGTAGGTTGCTGGCGCTACTTGGCTTTGTTTGTGTTGTGTTGTGTTCTTTGGTTGTGTTGTGTTGTGTTGTGTTCTTTGGTTGTGATGTGATGTGCTGTGTTTTGTGTTGTGATGTTGTGTTGTGTTGTGTTGTTTGGTTGTGCTGCGTTGTGTGTTGCTTGTGTTTCGTTGGACTTGTTATCCCACGCTGCACTCCACTCCCTTTGGTCCCGGCCCCTCACAATCCACACGCGCACGCTTTCTCTACCTCACTTGCACTGATATCGCGCCCACAGGTACGCGAAGGAGAATGGCGTGCAGCCTGAGCCGCTCGTTGGATCGTCGGATAACCAGACGCTGGTAGAGTCCATCATGAAGGCGCAGCAGAGCGTGCCGCCCAGCTTTGATCAGCACGACTCGCAACTGGAGGTCGACGAAGGCAGCGATGTAAGCACGGCTCGGTGTTTATTCGAGCACACGTCTATGCGCGCGCGCGTGCGTGTGTGTGTGTGTAAGTGTGTGTGTATGTGTGTGTGTGTGTATGATTGTATAACTCTGCATGGTTCTGCGTCCTCTCCCTCTCTTCCTCTCTCCCTCTCTTCCTCTCCCCCTCTCTCCCTCCCTTTTACGCTATCACCACAAACCACAATCACCACGATTTGCACCCACCCTCACCCATCACCTGTCACCTCCAACCTCCCAAACCATTCCTCTGCTCACAGGAGGTTGTGCCGCGCTGGCGCCTGGCGACACTGAAGCGACGCGAGGAAGAAGAGCGAGAAGAGATTATGGAGCTGGAGATGGAGGACGATATTGGACGGCGGCGCGCGCAGCGACTGCGTGAACGCCAGCAAGCAAAGGAGGCCATGAAGAACAAGGCACTGCAGCGGTGAGTGGTGTTGTTGTTTAAGTTGTTGTTGTTGTTGTTCAAGTTGTTGTTGTTGTTGTTGTTTAAGTTGTTGTTGTCGCCGCTACTTGCTCTGCAAGGGTCGTGTCTTCAATATTTTCACCAGCACTTTGTGCTTCGCTCGTGAGCGTCTAACGTTCCGCTATTCCCACAAATCACACACACGATCGACACACACACACACACACACACACACACACACACACACACACACACACACACACACACACACACTACGTGCAGGTTGGAGCTGCTTGAGGCCGGCAATCAGCAGGCGTTAATGTCTGATCTGAACATTCAAATTTCGCGGGGCGTGGCAAACACCATCAAGCGGAAGCTGGAGGACCTGACATTTGCCGACTACAGCAGTGACGAAGACGACGAAACACGCGGGCCCATGTTCGACTTTGACGAACGAAGCGACTCGAGCGATGGCGAGGACACCCTTCGCCCTGGCGGCATGCTGGCCGGTGTCGTGGACGAAGAGGACGAGGACGATGATGACTACCTGATGCTGCTGGAGCAGGAGGCAGAGGCGCTGTCACGCCCCGTCCACGCGCCACAGCAGCAACCGCAGCGACAGCACTCGTTCCCACACGCCGGCGTCCACGATTACGGTGGTGAGCGGGACTCGCAGGCATCGGCGATTGTTGCGCAGCTGCCGAGGCGCGACGAGACGGAGTGGAAGGTGAAGCCGCCACTCACGTGGAAGCCCCGCCACTGTGCAGACTGGCTTGCGTTTACAGCGCCGCAGCTGGACTACATTGCACGCGCGCTTGAAGACAATCAGGTGCACGGCGCAGAGCTGTTGAAGCTGAACGACAGCCGTCTCAAGTCGATTGGCGTGACAGATGCAAAGGACAGGAAGGCGTTCAAGACGTGCATCAAGCAACTCAAATCCGCCACACGCAAGGGGCTAGAGGCCGGTCAGTCATGCGCTCACCACACACACACACACACACACACACACACACACACACTCACAGAAACATGTGTACATTTGCTTGGGTGCTCTTACCAATGCTTGTGCTTCTCTGTGTACGCTGTGCTTGCGTGAACGCATGTGCGAGCCCTCAATCGGTCTCGTGCTGCGAGTCTGCCTTGAATGTGCTGTTCTGCTTTGTGTCAAGTCTCGCGTCGTTTCGTTCAACTTACACATGCACTGGTACACACAACACAACACAACACAACACAACACAACACAACACAACACAACACAACACAACACACACACAAACACATTACCGTACTTCACGCACGTTTTGCCAACAACGTACAACAGGCTATGCGCGGGATGACAGCACGCTTGCGAGCGACAGGAGCAAGGCCGAGGTGTACGTGGCGATTGCGGGCTTCCCAGGCCACCCGGGCCGCAACCAGCTCGCGTTCCGCGAAGGCGACCGCTTCGCGCTGCTGCAGGAGGTGTCGCCTGACTGGTACGAGATGCGCCTGCAGAGCACGGGGCAGACGGGCATGGTGCCTGCCAACTACGTGCAGCTTGTGCGCGGTGGTGAGCGCAGCCAGCACACGGCGGCGCCGTCTGTGATTGAGGCTGTTGCCCACGTGCAGGCCATTGCAGACTTCAAGGGCGCTGCAGGCCAGCTGCCGCTGATTGTTGGCGAGGAGTTTGCTGTGCTGCAGCGCAGGGACGCAAACTGGCTGCTTGCACGCAACCGACAGGGGCAGACGGGCCTCATCCCCAGCACATATGTGCGGGACGTTGACGCCAAGCGCAAGCTGCTTGTGCTGGAGGACTACCTTGCAGACGACGGTGTGCTGCTTGTGGCCAAGGGGGAGGTGGTGCGCCAGACGGGGTGGGGCGTCGACGACTCCATCGCCATCCACACGGCCGCAGGGCACACGCGCACGGTGCCGCCGAGCGTGGTTGTCGAGCACCACCCAGACTACGGCTTTGAGCGCGAGATGGAGGCTGTCACGGCGTATGTTGGCGGGCAGGGCAAGCTTGGCCTCACCCCGGGTGACAAGATCAAGGCGCTGACGCTACTTGCCACGTCGTGGGTGTACGGCTTCCACCCGCGCACGAGCACGTACGGGTTTGTTCCCATCTCCTTCCTGCGCGACATGTCTGAGGAGACAATGCCCATGACGGTGATTGCGCCGTACGACAGCCAGGGCCAGCCTGGCCACGTCTCTGTGCGCGTTGGCCAGCAGGTGCAGCTGCTGAAGGAGGTGAGTGCGGACTGGTGCGTAGTGCAGGTGTCGCCGCGCGAGCGTGGCCTTGTCCCGCGCGGATTCCTGGAACGCGCCCGCCAGGAATCGACAACAGAGGTGATGCGGGCAAAGCGTGCGTACGAGCACAGCACGTCGGGCTTCTTCCTGTTTGAGGACGAGGCTGTGACGGTGCTGCAGCAGTCGAGCGACGACTGGTACTACGTGCGTCGCTCCAATGGCGAGGAAGGCATGGCGCCCGCCCAACTCCTGCAGCCGGCCTCCGTGTTCTTCAAGGCCATCGCAGACTTCAGCGGGCAGCGCACGTCGTCGCAGCTGTCATTCAACCGCGGTGACATCTTCAACCTCCTCTCCTTCAAGTCCAATGACTGGCTGCAGGCCCGCAACTCCGATGGCCGCATCGGCCTCGTGCCCGCCGCGTATGTGGAGGAGGTGGCGCCGCCAGAGGCCTTTGAGCCCTCGCGAAAGGCCTATGTGCCGCCTGTCGAGAAGGGCCGGGTCGCCAGCCGCGCACGCGTGTTCTCGACACCACAAAGTGCGATGCCGACGCAGCAGCAGAAGCGGGAGTCGCTGGTGCGCGGGCCGAGCGTGCACCGGCTCAAGAGCGCCTTCAGCCGCCACGCCCTCCCTCTCCACGAGTGGACAAACGAGCACGTGCTGGACTGGCTGGTGACGTTGGCCATGGACACGGATGTTGTTGAGCGCGTCTTCCGCGAGCGCCGTGTTGATGGCGCGATGCTGGTCCGCTTGACCGACCGTGACCTTCGTGGTCTCGGACTCAAAGGCCGGCGCACCCGCGACGATCTCCTGCACGCCATTGAGGACCTGCGAACAACAACGGAGGAGAAGCGGGCCGCTGATGCCCACCCACACCGCGCCCCAAACAGGTGTGTGTGTGTGTGTGTGTGTGTGTGTGTGTGTGTGTGTGTGTGTGTGTGTGTGTGTGTTTGATTGATTGATTGTTTGTTTGTTTGTTTGTTTGTTTGTTTGTTTGTTTGTTTGTTTGTTTGTGTGGTTGCTTTGCATGAGAGAATCGATGCGTGTGAAAGTGTTGATAGCGTTGCAGTTTTGTGATTGTGTGCAAGAACACACAGGAGCACTCTGCAACCCTTTCCCCTTACCACTCACAGACTCACACACTCGAACGTGCACACACCTGCTACACCTCTCCGCTTGTCCCGTTTTGCTGTCCAACACTCCCAGCGGGAACAAGTCTGACTCGCTCCGCCACCGCGCGGCCTCTGCTGGTCTTGCAGCACAGCTCAACCAGCTGCTCACACCCGACGGCCAGAAGCACAAGGGCAAGCGCGGCAAGAAGGACAAGCAGGCCTTTGCTCTCGAGCTGGCACGCAAGTCCATGCGCCAGGCAGAGCGGCAAAAAGCAATGGACGAGTGGCGTGAGCGTCGTCGTGGTGATGGTGGTCTTGACTACGACGACGACCAGGGTGCTGATGCTGGCGCTGTTGGGCCCTACGACAACGGGTACCCGCGCGATGACTATGGATACCGCGAGGAGCAAGGGCGGGCACGGCGTCGCGGCTACGACCGGTCGCCGGGACGGTATGAGCGACACGGGCGGGAGCACCCACGTTACGGCGGTCGCTACGACTACGACGACGATGGCGACGACGATCGCGAGTGGTTCTGAGTGTGCTTGTTGGTTTACCTGTGTGTTTTTTGTGTTGAATGTGTACAGGGTGGTTGTTGTGATGTGAATGTGTTGGGTGTTGCTGTTTGTTTGCTTGTGAAATAGCCTTTCAAGACAGGTTGCATTGTACCCTAGTAGCGTGCGCGTGCGGTGTTTGTTGGGTTGATTGATTGTTCCCATTTGCTTCCGCAACGGCGTTTGCTTTCGTGGTTGTTTTTTGGTTCTTGAACACGCACGAGTACACGAGTTACATTTGGAGCGTGTCAAGAAACAGCTGCGCACACTGTGTGTGTGTGTGTGTGTGTGTGTGTGTGTGTGTGTGTGTGTGTGCGTGTGTGTGTGTGTGTGTGTGTACGTGTGTGCGTACGTGTGTGCGTACGTGTGTGTGTGTGCTGTTGCCTGTGCGCCTACAGGTCGTCGCCATCGTCCTCATCTTCGAGCACTGAGGAGATGGTTTGCGCCAACTCTGTGGGACAAGGATGACAATGGTGATTGATGAATGACAATGATGAGGGTGGTGAATCAGCACGCGCTTTGGTGGACAAGGAATGAGCCAACGCAAATACAAAGACAAACACGCCCACAGCCACACACTGCCCCAGATAAAGATGCATGCACACAAACTCCATCTCACCTGTCACGCAAGGAATGGTCGACACAAAGTCAATGTCGGCCATGACACCCTGTATCTCCTGGCGCGTGCACCCCGCGACAAACTGCACCCGACGGCAACGGCAGGCAAGTGCACAGAGGTGCGACGTGAGCACGTGGGGGAAAAGCACAAGCACACACACACATACACACACATACGCACACACACACGCGCGCACACACACACACACCTCGTCGAAGAAGGAGCGGAAGCGTTGGCAGAGAAGCTGTGCACACGTTTCACTGTCCTCTGTGTTGATCTGTTGCGACAGCTTCGACACAACTGTTTGCAACACCCGCTCAACTTCCTCAGAGAACCCGGCGTCAGGCTGCACAAAGAAGATGCGCATGCGCGCGTATGTGTGTGTGTGTGTGTGTGTGTGTGTGTGTGTGTGTGTGTGTGTGTGTGTGTGTGTGTGTGTGTGCAGTAGTGAGTGCGTGCGTGCGTGTGTGCAGCAGTGAGTGGGTGCGCGCAAATCCGTGCGCGCGTGTGGGGCAAGCGCCACAGCATTCAATGATATCGACAGTGGCACCTCACCAACACGTTTGCTCTTGGCGTACCTGACACGCCCTGACTGCCTCCTGAACCAGGGGAAAGGTTCGAGAGCTGTTGTCGGCGAAAACAAAGGCGTGAGTCGCTGATTTTCAGGGCGGAACGACACAGATGTAACCAAGCACACTCACAAGGTCGCATGCAAACACACAAACACACACACACAAGATAGCACACTCACATATATGCACACACCACTACCCACACACCACACACACAAATCCACACACATGCCTGCACACATACACACACATGGTGTCTTCTCACCTGATGAATGCCCGGGGAAGTGATGTGTAGTACTTGACGAGAGACACGGGTGAGAAGATGCGCTCACGCATGAGATGGCGGGTCAGGGTGGCGATTGTGCTGAACTTGCTGCTGAGCATGGCACCGATGACAGCAAGCGCTGCGTCCTGGCTCGCTTCAAACTTGGACACACGGCGAAGCACTGCAGCCCAGCTGTGATGCGAGGACACGTGGTTGGTGCGTGGCAGCAAGGTTGAACAGAGCATGTGAGGTGAAACGAGAGAGAGAGAGAGAGAGAGTGTGTGTGTGTGTGTGTGTTCATGTGCATGACTGTGCGTATTCGTGCGTGAGTGTGTGCGTGTATAGTGTGTCTGCCTGCGGGTATTTCTCGAATTGCGTGTGTGTGTGTGTGTGTGTGTGTGTGTGTGTGTGTGTGTGTGTGTGTGTGTGTTCGTGTGCATGACTGTGCGTATTCGTGCGTGAGTGTGTGCATGTATGGTGTGTCTGCCTGCGAGTATTTCTCGAATTGCGTGCGTGAGTGCGTGTTTCACTGTCTCACCGGTCACAGCGCCACAACACGTCTTCCAGCGCGTCCTCTTGTGAGAGAATTGCGATCCAAAACGCCGCAGACGGCAGCGAGTTCTGCGGGCAGGCAGTCAGTGTCTCTGGTGCACATGTGCACGTGTGCGCGTGTGCGTGCGTGGCATTGGGTGTTTTGTGTGTGGAACAAGCAGGATGGTTTCGGTGAGTGCGACGAGGATCTAATCTACGGATGAAACGCAATGTCAGATGCACACACGAGCGCATCAGCAAGCCAGCGAGCAACCAAAGGCGAGCGAGGACGTGCACACCGGAGAGGGCGTTAAATCCGAGCGAGGCGACGGTCCAGGTCTCCAGGGCCGCCATCACATCATCATCTGGTGGTCGCAGGTTGAGATGCACGTCAGGGCAAACCGTAGCGCAGCAGCCATGCACACAGGCACGCTCACGCGCGCATACACGCGCATATACGCACGCATGAGCGCTCACATCCACACACAAACACACACGTTTACATGCACATGCACAGCCTTACCTGAGCCATCAGTGGCGTTGAGGGCGGTAATGATGGCCTGTACTTCAGGAGCTGCGCGTGCGTTTGCGCAGATGGTGGTGGCTGTTGTATCTGAGGCCGGCAGCAGGAAGTGACACGTCTCCGGCATTTTCCGCTTTAGTTTGGACGACGAAGCGAAGCTGAAGGAAGGTGTGGTGTGAGTGTTGAACGTGAGCATGGACAAGTGTGCATGTGTGCATGTGTGTGTGTGTTTACGTGTGCGTGTGTGTGTGTGTGTGTGTGTGTGTGTGTGTGTGTGTGTGTGTGTGTGTGTGTGTGTGTGTGTGTGTGCGTGTGTGTGTGTGTGTGCGTGTGTGTGTGTGTGTGTGTGTAAGTGTGTGTGTGTGTGTGTGTAAGTGTGTGTGAGTATGTGAGTGTGCGCGCACGTGTGTGTGTGTGTGTGTGTGTGTGTGTGTGTGTGTGTGTGTGAAAGTACAGGGCTGTGCGCAAGTGTGGCTGTGTGAGTGCGTGCGCGTATGTGTATAGCTGGCATGAAGGTGGCGTGGCTGTGCTGACATGCGCGCCCCTTTTCCACAGCCAGGCTTGCGTCGCATGTAATCATGGCTTACGCTGTGCACATGTGGTAGATGACATCTTCCATGGCGCCCTCTTGCCGGCCAATGGCCTGGCATGCCCGCAACACATCCTCCACGTCGCGCTTCGTCACTCGATCCTGCCAAAGGAAACGAACAACCAAGACGCAGCATGATTTGCAGTGCACCTGCAGTGGACCTGCAGTGCACCTGCAGGGGCAGTGCAATGCAATTCGCTGGAATCACAGCTCATCACAAGTACGAATGTACACGCACATACGAATATGCACAAGCACATGCACATGCATATGTACATGTACATGATGTGCACAACGTACCTTCGTGTCAAGTCGCTTCACGTGGGACAGCAGCCCACGCCAGCCTCCCCTCATCGCTGCAGACAGCCTCTCAAATGAAGTGCAACGCACCCCAGCCAGCCAGTGAACAAGCGAAGCAAAGACAAACAAGCTGTGTGCAGAAGCGCTCAAAGTTGGGAAGAATGGGTGTCACATTCAATAATTTTCTGCACCACAACCACGCCAACCAGAAAGACACACCAACACACACGAACGCACCCACGATCTTGTCTGTCTCCATCCATGCATTCGCGGGGCAGGAGGGCTGGGGCAGGCAGTGGGAAAGCCACAGCAGCAGCGAGTGGGCGTCGGGGAGATGGCATAGGCAGAGGAAGTGGGAGAGGCAGTGATGCAGGTGATGGAAGAGAAGGTGAGTTGGAGAAAGAAGGCCACCAGCAAGCGCAGCATGGCCAGGAGGAGCAAGAGCATGACGTGCAGATTGACGTGACGAGCACCGGACCCCAGGACCACCAACGGCTGCACACGGTCTCCACCACGGGCACGACATCCCTGGAATCTGAAGATGCTCCCCATGCTGTTGCTCCCGCAACCCCCAAAGCCCACGAACAGCAGCAGCAACAACAACAACAACAACAACAACAACAACAACAACAACAACAACAACAACAACAACAACAACAACAACAACAACAACAACAACAACAACAACAAAGTGGGCATGGCTTGCAGCATGAGCACCACCAGCCGCAGCAGTCGCATCACTTGTCCCATCACGAACAGCATGCGCCGCAACAAAACCCCAGCACCACCAGCGCCTCATCGCCGCAACACCACGCCACAAACAGCGGCCATGACACCACCCAAGTCTTGGACGCAAAGCACACCGATGCCAACCCCTCCCCCGACGACCCCATGACTCGTCACAGCCCATCAGCTGGCGGTGCTGGTCACCAGGACCACCATCATCACCATCACCACCAACACCAACACCATCACAATCCCAATCACCAGGAGCTTGTGCATGATTCGGGTGCGCCTATGACCAAACGCAAACTCTCACGCGAGGACGGCGATGATGAGAGTGCTGACGCCAAGCGCAGCAAGCAGGGCCAAACAGAGGCGATACACCATGGCCATGAACATGATGCGACCCTCGGTCAGGCGGGATTGGATGTGGGCGTGCCCTCGCCGCTGGACTCGCACCTTCCACCGCACGCGCACATGCCTGCCCACCACGCCCACCACCAGCTTGCATCCTCCCATCCCCAATACCGCCCGCACATGCCCTCGCAACTCCAGCCGCTGCACCACCATGGCACACCAGCCCCACACCACCATCACGGCGCGCCGCCACCGCCACCGCCACACGCCATGCCTGCAGCTGCACCGCCGCCGCCACCACCGCCGCCGCCGGGTGTGCGTGGACCAAGCGAGGCTGTCACCAGCATGCCCGGACCCGCACAGCTGCCGTCGCACTTGCCGCACGCTGCACGTGTGCCGCCGTACACCCCCACGGGGCAGTATGTGGACTGGAACCACGCGGCATATTCGCTGCCATTCTCCGAGGCACAGCAACAGCCACAACCGCAGCAGCAGCAACAGCAGCAGCAGCAGCAAGTGCAGGTACAAGTGCCGCATTCGCACGCAGCGCAGTCCATGCATGACGCGCATGCACCGCCACTTCCCCACTCCACCATGGCAGTGTCGATGGCCTCTGCACACGAACACGGACCCACACCACACGCGCACCCGGCGGCACAGCAGCCCGCACATGAGCAGCACGTGCACCAGCACGCGTTTGCACACCACCACCAGCAGCACCAACAACACCAACAACACCAGCAGCAGGACCAAGCGCATCAGCGGCAAGAACAAGAAAAAGGGGCGCCGCGGTCCAACAATGGACTTGCATCATCCACATCAACACCAGCGGGACGAAAGTACGTGTGTGTGTGTGTGTGTATGTGTGTGTGCGTGCGTGCGTGCGTGTGTGCGCGTGTGTGTGTGGTTGTGTGTGGTTGTGTGTGTGTGTGTGTGTGCGTGGGCCACGCGTTTACGCGTCACTGCCTGCGCATGCTTGTACATCTGTCTGTGCTGTCGTGACCTTGTTCCTCCTCACCAGACACACACGCAGTCTCACATTTCACCTCCCCCCCCCCGCCCTCTCTCCCCTTTCATCTTACATTACAGGGCGAGCCAGTCTGGCGTGAGCTGGAGCGGGCCAATGACGCACCACCTGCTGCATCTGCTGCGCGGAAACGAGTTCCTGCTGGTGACGGGCAAGACAGACAACGAGACAAACATCCGCAAGCGCAAGGGGTGGGCGCGCATCTGCGAGCAGCTGCTGAAGAGGTTTCCGCAGGCCAAGCCCTGGCTCACAGCCACGCAGGTCAGGGAGAAGTTCAAGAAGCTCAAGCAGACGTTCACGAAGCACCAGCAGGGATACTTGGAGAACAATCGCGCGTACGCGCAGGACCGCATGCGTGCAGGCAACGGTGGAGGAGGAGGCGGCGGCATGCGACCGTGGCCCTTCTATGACGCAATGGCAGGCCTGTTGGCTGGGCGGTCCGGAACAGGCGCCTCTGCTGTTGTTGCGTCACAGCCGGATGGACACGTGCTTGTCAACGCAGATGTACAGGTGATGCGATGGGAGGATGCGGACGCGCCTGTGCAGCCAGCAGACACACAGGCCGTGCACGTGCGTACTCAACGAGTTTGCATCTATTTCTGTGAATGGGAGGGGATTGTTTGGGTGTGGGTGTCTATGTGTGTGTGTTTGTTTGTGCGTGCGTGCGTGCGTGTGTGTGTGCGTGTGCGTGTGTGTGTGTGTGTGTGTGTGTGTGTGTGTGTGTGTGTGTGTGTGTGTTTGCGTGTGTGTGTGTTTGCGTGTGTGTGTGTGTGTGTGTGTGTGTGTGTGTGTTTGCGTGTGCGTGTGTGTGTATGTATGTGTGGGTGGGTGTCTGTTCATGCTTGGTTATTTTCTTGTTTGGTTGCTTGGTGTGTCACCACGTTCATTCCTCCAATCGCTCATTGCATACATACCCGCACATGATACTGTCTGCTCTTGTGTGTGCACACAGGCTGCGTTACGGCGAAGCAGACATGGACGCAGCATCTACGACGCGCCACCGCCTGTATCCGCGCTCGCGCCATCGCACGCAGTGGGCACACACGCAAGCAGCAGTGCAATGCCAGCCAATATGGCATCAGCAGCCGTGCCGCCGCCACTGGCCACAACAGCGGGAGTACCAGCGGCTACCACTGCAGGTGTGAGCGCAAGCAGCACGCTTCTGCCTCAAACCGCTGCCATGATACCAGGCCACCCTCCACACGGTGGCGGTGGCGGCAGCGGCGGTGGTGGTGGTGGTGGCACTGTGGATGTTGGTGCCGCTGGCGTGCTGAACGCTGCCCTGACACACGCGAGGGCGGATCACAATGTGGACGAGGATGACATGCTGCAGCGGCTCGTCAAAGCAACTGAGGCCGCCGTCGCGCAGCAGGCCGCTTTTGTGAGTGTGTATGTGCGTGTAAGCGTGAGTGTACATGTGTTGGGGGGGTTGGCATGCGTGAGTGTGCATAAGTGTGCGTATGCGAGCATGTGTGTGTATGTGTGTGGTGATGGTGGTGAGTGCGTGGGCTTACGAATGTGCAAGTGATTGGAGCTGAGCTTGGTATTCATTCCCCATCATCTCGCTCGCACACATAACACGTTCACATACAACACTCACACAAACGCACAACCATTCAAACACATACACGCAACCCCAATTAGCATCGGGACGTGCTGCAGCAGTTGAACCAGCAAGCGGAGGAGACGCGAAACATGCTGAGGCAGCTGCTGCAAACCATGGCACCACGCGCACCCGAGGAAGAGCACTTGCCTGCACAGCCACCAACCTCGACCTCCACTGTCACCTCCACCGCCACTGACGCCACTGCCGACGCGGCAGGGGAAACAACCAGCACATGATTTGTTTGCCCCATCCCCCGATAATCAGCCTTCTCCACCAGCATAGCCACCACTAGTCAGCTAGCTTTGATTCTTGCGCGCGTGTGCATTCATTCGACGTGCCGCCCTCCCTGCTTGTACACACTTTGCGTTGTTACCCTGTCCTGTCGTGATAGTTCGGCCAATCAAATCACGTGTCCCTTCAGACAACTCTGTTTTGTTCTCATCTGTGTTGGTCCACCTTCACATCAGCCTGTGACCACACTATTGCTCCTAGTTGTTTTGTCTCGCTTTGTGGTTTGACGTGACATGTTGTGCACCCACTGAGCCTTTCTTTCTTTATTCGGTGAGGTGCTGCGGCACGAATTAGAAAAGCAAACAAACAAGCAGGTCAACAAAATATCAAAACAGGTTCGCAACATGCACCAAGCAGCAGCACTGCCTGCGACTGCAGGCCAAAGGGAACAAATCAGAACACACACGCATTATGCACCGTACAACAGGTATACAGCACCTGCTTGCCCTCGGTCGTGGCCGGGTGCCACGTATCACACTTTGTTCTTCTCTCCAACACAGCTCTTCACTCTTCGAGAGGTGTCGAACAGACTCCCACTCACATGAGCACATGCTGCTGTTACCACCGATCCCGAAGACCATGTCACCCGCCGGCACATGACTCGCCATCATCACACCCCTCGTGCTTGTGCTCTCACCTCCACATCACTCGTCATCAGCCAGGGCCACAAGCTCGGCCTTTGCATCCCCAAGCGCCTTCTTGGCCTTTGATACCTCCTTCTCTTGCTCCTTTTCCTCCTGTTTGAGTGCCGCTGCGCGCTCGCTGCGTTCGCCCACGGGTGCGCGCACCTGCTCAATCTTCACCTGCAGCTCCTTGATGCTCTCCTCCACCTCCTTCTTCTCTGTCTTTCGCTTCTCAATTTCGTCGTGCAGCTGCTGCGCTTTCTGCTTCGCCGCCAGCATCTGCTGAACAACGTCCTCGGAGTCTGCCGTTGCGCTCTTGTGCGCGGCTATCGCCCCAAGCTGCTTCTCGAACTCTTGCTGCGCTCGCAAGCATGCGTTCGCATGGTGTGGAAGGGAACGTGAGCGAGCATGTATGCATGTATGTATGTATGTATGTATGTATGTATGTATGTATGTATGTATGTATGTATGTATGTATGTATGTATGTATGTATGTATGTATGTGTGTATGTATGTGCGTATGTATGTACGTATGTATGTATGTATGTATGTATGTATGTATGTGTGTATGTATGTATGTATGTATGTATGTATGTATGTGTGTATGTGTGTATGTGTGTATGTATGTATGTATGTACGTATGTATGTATGTATGTGCGTGCGTATGTATGTACGTATGTGTGTGTGTGTGTGTGTGTGTGTGTGTGTGTGTGTGTGTGTGGAGCAAGGAGCACGCCCACGCGCACGAATGGTCTGAGGTGCAGCAATGCAAGTCGCGTATCACCCACTTCGTGCTAAGCATTGCCTGCGCACCTTGAAGGAGGAGACCTTGCCCTTGTTGACCTGGAAGAACTTGATCATGAGTGGCAGTTTGGCCACAATAGTCGACTGGTGCTTCGCCACTTCCTCCGCGGACAGCTCCGTACCAACAACTGTACCAGGGTACATGTCAGTTGCGCGTGTGCATGCGCATGTCAGTTGTGTGTGTGCATGCGCATGTCAGTTGTGTGTGTGTGTGTGTGCGTGTGTAGATGAGTGATGGGATGCGTGTGTGTGTGAATGTTGTTTGCCTCCTATGAGCGCTGCAACGGTGCAGGTTTGGCAACAGTGCATCGGCAATGCAACGTGCTCACGTACGTCCCATGGACGAGAGTAGGTCGTGCAGCTTCGCCTCTGCAAACTTGCTGATTTGCTTGTCCTCCTCCTGTGCGTCGTGGTGCACATGTGAGTAATCGCAGTGCGCAACAGCGATGTACACAGTCGACACAGAACGCGTGCAAACAAGCATGAAACACGCATGCGACACACACACACACATGACACACGTCCAGACATGGCACACACATACACATACACATACACACACGTGCGATACACACATGCAGTGCGCGTGCATCTTGGGAGGCGCACCTCAAACTTGTCGGGAAAGGAGGAGACGAGCTTCTCGACGTTGCTGGTCCACGGCGTGAGCTTGCCGGCGAGGTAGCATGTCTGCCACCACGTGCTGTACTCGAGGTAGATGCGACACGCAAGCAGCCAGCCAAGCCACTCTGCATGCGGGCGTGCACGTGTGTGTGTGTGTGTGTGTGTGTGTGTGTGTGTGTGTGTGTGTGTGTGTGTGTGTGTGTGTGTGTGTGTGTGTGTGTGTGTGTTGGGGGAGGGGAGGGCGTGATTGACCAACAAGCATGAGCATTGGTGCTCACAACACAGCGCAGCACTGCAGGCACACGACACGCGAAAGCACAGCACCACACCACAACACTACGTGCGACAACACTGCACACGTTGGTGTGGCGAACCTTTGGAGGAATCTGGAAGACAGTTGAGTTCCCTGATGCGCTTGTATGTCTTGGAATGCCCGCCAAACGCCAGAAGCCCGAGGTTCGTGAGGGCGGGCACGTGGCATGGGTACTTGGCAATGGTCTGTGCCAGCGCAGGCAGAAGCTTGTCCATGTGCAGCTCGGAACCAAACTCCTCCAGATACTCGACGAAGGCGTCCTGCCCGGCCACGAGCACGTTACAGAGGTGCTTCTCAAGGCTTAGGGCGGCGCTCATGCACCGCTCCTCGTCAAGCAGGGCGTCGGGGATCTCCCTCAAGCTCACGTCATTGTTCAGCCCAGACACAACTACGATGTGCATGGGAGAGAGTGTGTGTGTGTGCGACAGAGGGGCAGAGGCAGTGCGTGTGTGCGCGCGTGTGTGATTTGTGCGCAAGGCAGTGCGATAGTGTGATTTGTGTGTGAGACGATGTGTGAGTGCGAGTGTGCATGCTTGTGAATATGGAACACAAATCATTTTCGGTTTGGAGAACAAGGGGGGAGTGTGGACATCGAGGAATGCCCCAGCTGCACACCACACTGGATACAACATGCTGCAGCTTGTCGACACAGCAATACATGTACGCATCGTGGTCAAACCTGGTGCCGCCTCTTGCTTGCGCTGCAAGCTTGGGGACTTTGGGGAGTGTGCCGAAGCATCGGCGCGCTTCATACGCTCTGCCTCGCGCTGTTGGCGCTCTCGCTCCTCCGCTTGCTGTTGCCGACGTCTGGCTTCCTCTCGTTGCTGCTCTTCCAGCTGTTGCTGCTTGTAACCTTGGATCAGAGCAACCAGGGTTGCGTGTGACGAGTGCACCCTGGCGTCGTCGCGGGAGACGGCGGCTGCCTTGTGCCGCTGTGCCTCGTTCTCTGTGATGAGCTTGAGCTGCACAGCCTCCCTGGCCATGCGCTCAATCTCCACGGCCTGCCGCATCATGGCTGCTGTGCGCTCTGCCTGCTGCTCTGCTTGCTGCATCTGCGCCTTCAGTTGGCTCTCAAACTGCTGCTGCTTGGCCAGCTTCTCCTGCCGCTTGCGCTCAGCCTCTTCCTCTTCCCGCTGCTGCCGCAGCCGCTCCTCATACAGCCTGCGCTGCCGCTCCTCCTCCTCGCGCTGCTTGCGCCTCTGCTCCTCCTGTCGACGCCGGTCTTCTGCGCGGCGTGCCTCTTCCTCTTTGCGGCGTTCCTCCTCCAGGCGCTGTCGCTCAAACACCGCCAGCTTCTGCGCGCGCGCCTCGGCCAGCTCAGCCTCCTTCTTCAGGCGAGCCAGCTCCTTTTGCTCCTGCTTCTGCAGCCATTCTTGCTCCTCTGCTTCGCGCTTGCGCCGCTCTTCCTCAGCCCGCTGCCGCTGCAGTCGCTCAAGCTTCTCGCGGCGGTTCTGCGCAGCAAACGGGTTCTTCTGCGCAATATCGCCCGTCAATTCCATTTTCTTGGACGTGTGTGTGCTTGGGGAGGGGGAAGTGTTGTGTACCTGCTGATTTGGGGAGGGGAAGGTCAGGGGTACAGTGCCAATGCGGACAATGCGAGCAAAAAATGAGAACAGTCGAGAAGAGGACAATCGCAAGAGGGCAGATCAGCGATGCTTGAAGGAACCCCGGCATGCACTGCTCTCAAAGGAGAGTGGTGGAGTAGAGTGGTGCTCTTCTTTTCTGTCAGCCTGGTTCTTCGCTAACACACACACACACACACAGATCTGTGAATACCCAACCAACCTGTCTTGCTTGCGTCGGGGTGTATGGTGGTGGGTGTGCTCAACCGCAGGGAGCAACCTCAGAGCCTGATAGCGAAAGGGGGGTGTAGGTGGGAGGGGTCTCTGTCTTCTCTCTTTCTTCTCGCAGCACAACAACAACAAAAACAATACCGACGAAGAATTGTGAATGATTTCGTGATTGGCTATTCGATGAAGTTATTGGTGGATATTCGCCTGGCAAAAACCAACAGCAAGCAAGAGCCAACGATACACTCCAACAGACAAGAAGCAGAGACGAGCGAGTGGCGGTGTGTGTGTGTGTGGCTGTGCACTCGCTGACAGACTGAACACTCCAACAACAGACAGACAAGCATGGACAACGCCTGCTACACCCTCATCAACACTGATGAGGGCTTTGAACCCATGACGGAGATGGAGCTCCGCAAAGCCCTCGGTGCGTCGGCCTGTGTGTGTGTGTGTGCGTGTGCGTGAATTTGTGTTTCGTGTGCACGAATGCGCGTAAATGTGTGGACCAATCGCGTTTGTGTAGAGCACAAGCGTGATGCGGGGCAGGGTTCTGCTTGTATGCTTGGGTGCTGGCGGTAGATGAACGTCAATGTTTCCTGCGCGTGTGTGTTTGTTTGCCTCCGCGTGTGTGTTTGTTTTCCTCCGTGTATGTGTGTGCGTGTGCGTGTGTGTGTGTGCGTGTGCCAGTGTGAAGCTCATGCTCACTTGTTCTCGTGTGAAAACCACGATCTACCTGTTTCACAGAGAGCAACAAGGTTGGCGTCAAGGCACACGCTCTCAAGACCGCCATCCTCATGCTTCTCAGCGGCGAGAAGCTCCCCTCGCTTCTCATGGTATGTGTGTCTATGTGTGAGCGTACGATGGGCCCAGGACAAAACGAACGTGCCTGTCAACTCCAAGCGCCTGGCTTACTCGCGGGCTTTTGTGTGCGCGCACACACACACACACACATTCACCCTCACTCTCTCACACACACACACACATTCACACACACATACACGCCCTCACACTCTCCCCCACATTCACGCACACACATTCACGCACACACACACACACATTCACACACACACATTCACGCACACATACATTCACGTACACACGCCCTCACACACTCACCTACATTCAATTGATGTGGTTGTTGTTGTGTTTGCAGACGGTGATTCGCTTCGTCATGCCGTGCGACGACCATCTGGTCAAGAAGCTGCTTCTGGTCTTTTGGGAAGTGGTGCCAAAGTACGGGCCAGACGGCAAGCTGCTTCACGAGATGATTCTTGTGTGCGACGCCTACCGCAAGGATCTCGTGCATCCGAACGAGTACGTGCGGGGGTCCACGCTGCGCTTCCTCTGCAAGCTCAAGGAGCCTGAGTTGCTTGAACCACTGATGCCCTCCATCCAAGAGTGCCTCACAAACCGCCACAGCTACGTACGTGCCGCTGTGTTTTGGAAGGGGGGAAGTGTGTGCGAGCGTGTGTGCTAGCGTGTGTGTGCGCCCGTATTTGAGCGTGTCTCCATGTATGAGCGTGTGTGTGTGAGCGTGTGTATGTCTGCATCTGCGTCTGCACCTGCATCTGCATCTGCGTCCTGCTTCTGCCCCCCTGTCTTCGCTCATGGATTTGTTTTGAGGTGTGTACGTCCTCGCCCCACTCCGTGCATCGTGCCGCCATGTTCATTGTCGCAACCGCCCTGTTCCACCCCCCCCCTCTTCTTCCACAGGTCCGCCGCAACGCCGTGCTGGCCATCTACACCATCTACAAGAACTTTGAGCACCTCATTCCGGACGGCCCCGAGCTCATCCAAAAGTTCCTCGAGAAGGAGACGGACGCGTCGTGCAAGCGCAATGCATTTATGATGCTGACCACTGCCGACCAGAGCCGCGCGCTGGAGTACCTTGCCACGTGCATTGACCAAGTCCACACATTCAATGAGATCTTGCAGCTCGTCATTGTCGAGCTCGTCCACAAGGTGTGCTTTCAGCGCGCGTGCCTGTGTGTGTGGTTCTTGTGTGTGTATGTGTGTGTGTGTGTTGTGTGTGTGATTTCAGTGTGTATGATGCTGTTGTGTGTGTGTGTGTGTACGTGTGTGTGATGCATGTGTCGGAAGAAGCGTGTTCAGTAGTAGGCGCCATGTCTTCATTGCACGCACACACACACATACAGTCAATGCACAGACATCGGAACAGATGCCACCAAACCCTTCCTCACCTTACCAACCAACCCTTTCTGTGTGCGTGCAACTGTAAACAGGTGTGCCGCCAAGACTCGGCGCAGCGGTCCAAGTTCATCCGCGTCATCTACAACCTGCTCGACTCGTCCTCGGCCGCCGTGCGCTACGACGCTGCCGGCACGCTGCTCACCCTGTCGACTGCGCCAACAGCGGTCACTGCCGCCGCCAAGTGCTTCACGGGCCTCATCATGAACGAGAGCGACAACAACGTCAAGCTGATTGTGCTTGACCGCCTCATCCGGCTGAAAGAGAACCCAAACAACGAGCGGGTGATGCAGGACATGTGCATGGACATTATCAAGGTGCTCAGCGCTCCAGACCTCACCGTGCGCCGCAAGACGCTCGACCTGGTCATGGAGCTCGTCTCCAACAGAAACGTCTCCGAGGTCGTCATGTTCCTTCAGAAGGAGCTTGCCAAGACGTCAAGGTGATTTCTTGCCGTTACCGCTGTTATCATTGTGCGTTGGGGTTCCTCGTGCCGGATGTGGCTCATTTCGCTGCATCATACACGCGCGCGCGCGCACACACACACGCACAGACACACACACACACACAGGCACGCACGCGCGCGCACACGCACACACACACACACACAGACACACACAGACTGACTGGACTGACTGACTCACACGCTCTCCCTCCCTTCCTCTCTTCCTCCTTGCAAATTTATCACTGCGGCGACAGCCAAGAAGGGTTTGAGAAGAACTCCGAGTACAAGCAGGTGCTGGTACGCACCCTGCATCAGCTTGGCGTGCGCTTCCCGGACGTTGCGTCCACCATCGTGCCGCAGCTCATGGAGTTCCTCTCCGATTCGGACGAGAAGGCCGTAGCCTCTGCCGTAGACGTGATTGTGTTTGTGCGCGAGGCGTTTGAGCGGCTGCCTGCGCTGCGGTCCGAAATGCTCGGCTCGCTCCTCTCCAGCTTCTCCCAGATCAGCGTGGCCAAGATTCTTCGCGCCACCGTCTGGATCATCGGCGAGTACGCAAACACCCAGCGTGACATTGAGGCCGCAATCGCAGAAATCAAGTGCGTCAAAAAAAGGGGGGTGGGGGGGGTGGGGTGGGGCAGGTGAAGCATTTGTGTGTGAGAGCGTGAGCTTGTGTTGCGTGTGTTGTTGTTTTTTTTTTTTTTTTTTTTTTTTTTTTTTTTTGGTGTGTGTGTGTGTGTGTGCGTGTGCTTGTGCTCTCGCAACATTTTGTGGACACCACTCACCTGCTCACACACCTCTGCAGGCGGTCGCTTGGCTCGCTGCCGATTGTTGATACGGAGCTTGCTGAGGCTGCTGAGGCCGAGGCGGCAGAGGAGGAGCAGGGCAGCGAGCCAAAGGTCGTCACCCGCACCCGCATCACCGCAGACGGCACATACGCCACAGAGAGCGTCTACACGTCCACAGGTCGGTTTCGGACATGTGGGCGAGTTGCGTGTGTCTGTGTGTGTGTGTTGGCGTGCTTGTGTGTGCTTGCTTGTGTGTGTGTGTGTCTGTGTGTGTTACCAACGTATTCTCGGCATGTCATGCACACGCACCCATGTACTCACCCCCAACACACAAACACACTAACACACACAGACAAGAAGAAGGAGGAGAAGCCACCGACGCGCAAGCTGCTGCTTGGGGGCGACTTTTTCGTTGCCTCTGCCATCAGCACAGCGCTGACGAAGCTTGCGCTCAAGTACGGCCACACGTCCGCGTCTGACGCCGACAAGAACAAGCTCACGGCCACGGCCATGCTCATGATGGTCAGCATGGCTCACCTCGGCAAGACCAACATCCCCGAGAAGCCCTGCCCGGCCGACTGCGCCTCGCACATCATGGTGCGCCGTCCTGTCCGCTGTGCAGTGCGAGTGGTCTGTGTGTGTGTGTGAATGAATGAATGTGCCGTCTTGCTTGTTCGTTTGCTTGGCATGATCGCTTGGTTTGCTCAACGTGTGCGTTTGTTGTGTTGCGCGTTGCGCCACGGAACTGCCACCATGCAACTGTTGTCGCTGCTGTATTTCTCGACACAAAATGCTCACGTGTCTCCTGCTGCAATCCCCCATCCCCATACCACCTCGCCGCCACCAGGCGTGTGTGCACACGCTTGCGAGTCCCACACCGGAGTTGGAGCAGCTGTTCCTCGACCGCTGCCATCGCGCATTTGTCGACATGCTCGAGACACTCAAGTCCCACCACGAGCACTTCAAGGTGCGGCGTGCCTGCATGTGTGTGTGTGTTGTTTTGTGTGTGCGTGTGCGTGTGTGTGCGTGTGCGTGTGTGTGTTGGACGTTATTTGCATGCACCTTGATCACTCACTGATTATCATGTCTCATCATGCTCATGAACCCAACGCGACCCTTATCGCGATGTTGAATATTGCTTGCAGGCAAAGGAAACCTCCAAGGTGATCAAGGCACAGGCTGACGATCCAATCACCTTCCGCGCTCTCAGGTAGCATATGCGTGGGAATACTGGGAATGAGGGCGCCGAGTGCGTGTGTTTCGCGTGCAAATGAGTGCAGCCACCTGTCGTGCATCTCACCCGTGCGTGCGTGTGTGCGTGTGTGCGTGTGTGTGTGTGTGTGTGCGTGTGTGTGTTCTTGCGCGCCCGCGTGTGTGTGCAGGGTGAAGGCTGAGGATGAGTTTATGGACGACGACGACGAGATGCTGCTGTCCAAGGCCACTGGCGCTGACACGAAGGAGGAGTCATCCTCAAAGCTGAGCAAGGTGTTCCAGCTCAGCGGCTTTTCAGACCCGGTCTACGCAGAGGCATATGTCAACGTCCACCAATACGACATCCACCTCGATGGTGAGTGTGTGGGTGTGCGTGCGTGTGTGAATGTGCGCGTGTGTGTGCTTTGTACTGTTTTGCACGTGAGCGTGGCTTCGTCTTCCATACCATTCAGTCACCTGACGTGACCTTTTTCTTATGTTCTGCACCCTGTTTTTCTGTTGCGTATGTGTTTGCAGTGCTTGTTGTGAACCAGACACCAGACACGCTGCAGAACCTGACGCTTGAGCTGGCGACGCTCGGTGACCTCAAGCTCACGGAGAAGCCCCAGTCGTACACCCTCGGGCCCCACGACTTTCGTAACATCAAGGCAAACGTCAAGGTGTGTATGTGTGTGTGTGTGTGCGTCGCAGGAACACCCTTTCTTTGCATCGTCGCGTGATTGGGCTGTGCCGTTTGGTGGCTGTTGCGTTGTCGGCTGTTTGTTGTCGTGCACCTCACATTCCACTTGGGGGCCCTGCTCTATTCTCGCACGAACCCCTCCCCGTTGCATTCGTTGGGCAGGTGTCATCGACGGAGACGGGCATCATCTTTGGCAACATTGTGTACGATGTGTCGGGTGCCACCTCGGACCGCAACTGCGTCATCCTCAACGACATCCACATTGACATTATGGACTACATCACGCCTGCAATGTGCAGCGAGGTGGAGTTCCGCGCCATGTGGGCCGAGTTTGAATGGGAGAACAAGGTGCGTGCGTGCCATACATTTTGTATGCGGTGTGCGGTGTGTGATTGTATATGTGTACGTTTTTGGTCTGTTTTTTTGTTTTGTTTGTTTGTTTGTTTGTTTGCTTGTTTGTTTGTTTGTTTGTTTGTTTGTGTGTTTGTTTTGCTTTCTGTCATGTGCGTGTGTATGCTTGTTTCAGCAAGCTGTCAGCGCGTGCTTGTTGCTTGTGTCCTCGGCATCTCATCAGCTTGTGTGTTTGTGTGTGTGTGTGTGTGTGTCACGCCGCCCCTTTTCGCGTGTGCGTGTGCGCCTTTGTGTTGTGCAGGTGAGCGTGCGCACGAGCATCACCGACCTCAACGCGTACCTCAATCACATCAAGCAGACAACCAACATGCAGTGCCTCACGCCAGACTCGGCGCTCACGGGCGACTGCAACTTCCTGGCCGCCAACCTGTATGCCAAGAGCGTCTTTGGCGAGGACGCCCTTGCAAACCTCAGCATAGAGAAGGGCCCCGATGGACAGGTGTGTGGTTTTGTGTGTGTGTGTGTGTGTGTGTGTGTGTGTGTGTGTGTGTGTGTGTGTGTGTGTGTGTGTGTGTGGTTGTGTGTGTGTGTGTTGTGTGTGTGTGTGTGTGGTTGTTCTGCCCTCGCACCCCTGTTGCTACTGCCTCTCACTCCCTCTCCCTCCCCTTTGCATGTTCTGACTGACGTGTGCACTGCGACTTGCTGCTGATTAGATCACTGGCCACATCCGCATCCGATCGAAAACTCAAGGCATCGCCCTCAGCCTCGGCGACAAGATCACCCTGCACCAGAAAGAGGCCCAGCACTGATTCTCTTCCCCCTTTCAAACCTGCCTTGCTTGCTTGTCTTGCTTGCGTTGGGATGAATGCGTGTGGGTCGTCTGCGTTACTGGTTTTGTCCATGTTGTGTGAATGTGCGCGCGCGCGTGTGTATCGTGTGTGTGTGTGTGCGTGCGTGTGTGCGTGTGTGCGTGTGTGTGCGTGCGTGTGTGTGTCGTGATTGTTAGCAAGCGCCACCCCCATACCAAAGCTACAACTGACCAACCTCAAGCAAACACCAACACCAGCACCAACACGTCCACGTTTTGGTTGTGAGGGAGGAGTGGAGAGGACCAGTGAAAACTTGACAAAGGCCACTGCACATTTCCACCACCAACAAACGAAACAACAAGGATGACGATGATGGTGGTGTTGTGGGTAACGGTTGCGATCACGTTAGCCGCTGCGGGTGCTGGTGCTGGTGCAGGTGGTGTGGCGGGCAGCTCATTTGCTGCTGGGAAGCAGCACCACCAGCAGTGGGCGATGATGGGCATGCCTAATGTGCCGCCCTCCTTTGTGGAGACGCGCAAGGCCTTGTTTGACTTCTGTGACGTCGATCATGATGGCGTGCTCGTGGAGGACAGGGCAGGCCCACGCGAGATCACCCGCATGTTTGGGCTGCTGTGGGAGTTCCGGGACTCGTACCGCACTGCACGCTCGTTCCTGTCCCACCGCGATGCTGACAACAAGCAACTCGAGTCAGTCCCTTGTGTGTGTGTGTGTGTGTGTGTGTGTGTGTGTGTGTGTGTGTGTGTGTGTGTGTGTGTGTGTGTGTGTGTGTGTGTGTGTGTGTGTGTGTGTGTGTGTGTGTGTGTGTGTGTGTGTGTGTGTACGTGGGTGTGCTTCATGTGTCGATCTTTCTGGAGTGCTTCTCTGTTGACCCTCTCAAGCCACCTTCAGCGATGACCACGAGCCGGCAAGCTCATACCCTTGTTGCCGTCGCCCACTATTGTCTTGTGTGCTCCCGTCTGCTGTTCAGCTTTGAGGCATTCCTGAAGGAGTCCATCACGACGCTCAACACTGTCGTCGAAAAGTTTGAGGAGATGGTTGAGAAGACGGACGATCCAACGTGAGTCGCCTGTAGCTGGTTGAACTGCAGTCTCTCTTGCGTCAATCACACGGACACACACACACACACACACTCACTCACGCACACACACTCACTCACTCACGTCCCAACCTGCTCTGACGCTACGCTCTGTTTGCGCCCGGCTGTCCTTTCTCAACATTTGACCTTACATTCGACCGACAGTGCATGGTTCTATCTTGGCATGGGCAAGAACAGCCTGCACCAGTTCCAAGCCGCCAAGAAGGATCTCCTCCACTTCCTCTCGCTGCAGCCACAGGCAATGCCTCAAGTGCGGAATCTCGCTGAAAGCCTGGAGCGCGACGCTCGGCCCATCGAGGTGTGTGTGTATGTGTATGTGTGTGTGTGTGTGTGTGTGTGTGTGTGTAGTGGTGGTGGTGGTGTGTAGTGTACAGTGGACGCCATGGCGTCTGCAACTGTTGTGCTTCTCTCCATGAGGTACGTCGTGTGCGTCTACCTCACTCGCTTTGCCGTATCCACCTTCTTTACTCACTGCATTGTGGCTGCTCACCATCCTCTTTCAACCCCACCACGCCAAATGACCAGGCCATCAACATGTTTGAGAGCATCTTCGATGCTGGATACGCACGTCTTGCTCTGAATCAACCGGAACCGCAAGAGTGGGCGCGCCTATGCCGCCAATGGCGCGAAGAGCACGCGAACACCACCCTACAGCAGGCACGAATGCATGTACCGTGTGATACTTGCCCGTGCTGTGTAGTGTTGTCTTGTATGTGTGCATGTGTGCATGTGTGTGTGTGTGCTTTCGTGGAGGACACTTGGTTGAACGAACGTACGTCGTGCCAGTGCATCCCCCTGACAACCCATGCGACACAACGGCAACCAACCGATTTCGTGGCGGTGGACGATGGCAGGCGTGCAAAGTCCCGAGCTTGAAACATGTTGCATCCAAGTGGATGGCGGATCTGAAGGCAGCGCCGGAGGGATGCGAACGCATCGACGCCAGCACCCTCGATCAGGCTGCTTTCAAAGAGCTGGTGCGTTGTGCTCAGTGTGGTGGCACTGGTTTCATGACAGATATGTTCTGTTATTGGTGAAGGGAGTGTCAGGGATGTGTGGCATATGTCATGTTATGCGTGAATCCAACACCTACCACACATGTCCAAACTACGTGGGACCTCACACAACTATGCCGTTATCTCACACACACATCACATCAAATCACACACCATCACACCACTGCCAGCTTGAGAAGGACGTGCCTGTGATTCTCGTTGGGGCGCAGGAGGACTGGGCGCCAGCAGAGGACTGGACACCAGAGAACCTCAACACGACGCTTCACGGCTACCCCGTCGATGTGCACCTGACCAAGGATGGCTCGTTCTACACCACCGTGGAGCGCGATGGAACCACGTGGGCTGTGCGCCCTGCCAGCACCTCCATGTCCTTTGCGGACTTTCTCACCGTGAGCATGATGGAGGACACGAACGCGACAGCATATCTTGAGTACACATCTGTTCACTCCACTCTGCCACCGCTCGTTGATTTCATCTCGCGACCAGAGTTCACCAAGGCTATTCCACTCAGGTTGGTTCGTGTGTTGTTGTTGTTGTTGTTGTTGTTGTTGTTGTTGTTGTTGTTGTTGTTGTTGTTGTTTAAGTTGTTGTTGTTGTTGTTGTTGTTGTTGTTGTTTAAGTTGTTGTTGTTTAAGTTGTTGTTGTTGTTGTTTAAGTTGTTGTTGTTGTTGCTGTTGTTGTTGTGTTTGTGTGTTTGTGTTTGCTTTTGTGTGTGTGTGTGGTTTTGCTTGTGCGTGAGCTTAGCTGTGTGTGCGTGCGCTTAACTGCGTGTGTGTTTTGCCATTCTTCCTTCCTTCCTTCCTTCCTTCCTTCCATCCACACAACACGTGCACACATGGGTGCTGTCGCTCTCCCCTGGAAGCCACTCATCCCATCACCTCTTCACTCACGACCACCTACCATGGGCAGACACATCAACTTCTGGGCAGGACCGGGCGCCACTATCTCGTGTGTGCACTCGGACGCGCACGAGAACATTCTGTTTCAGGTCGTCGGCGAAAAGGAGTTTGTGCTCTTCCCGCCAACAGGTGCGGCTGCGCTGTGATGCATGTTCAGTGGCGGTGGTCACTTTCTGTTCACGCCACGGCTGAAACACAACTGCCACATTCCATCCCACACTCCTCCTGTCTGCAGACCACAAATACCTGTATTATGACGAGAAGCCGGGCCTCTACCTCACGTATCAGCACCCGGGCCAGTTCCAATACAACGACGCAGCCGGCGATCGCAGGGTGCGTGTGTGTGTGTGTGCGTTGTTGTTGTTGTTGTTGTGTTTGTGGTTTTGTGTTTGCTTTTGTGTTTGTGTTGTGTGTGTGTGTGTGTGCGTGTGTGTGTGTGTTGTGTGTGTGTGTGTGTTGTGTGTGTGTTTTTGCGTGTGTGTGTGTGTGTGTGTGTGTGTGTGTGTGTGTGTGTGTGTGTTTTGTGTTGCACTCGTATGCATGTTTGCGATGATTTTGCCAGTCTCCGTCAGCGAGTCTGTTTCCTTTGTCCAAAAAGACCATCACTTGACATCGTTCCACACACCCGTGCATTCATCCACACTTTTATTTCCACTTCCTTGTCTTCCACTCCATGACCAGTCCAACATTGGCGGTGTCCATCTGCATGACGTGGATGTGTCTGAGTTTCCGCTCATCGCTGAGACCTCGCCCCGGCGCTGCCGCGTCAGGCAGGGCGAAGCCCTCTACGTCCCCTGTAAGCGCGCGCATGTGTGTGTGTGCGTGTGTATACGTGTGTGTGTTTGTGTTGTGTGTGTGTGTGGAAGTGTGTGTGTGTGTGTTGTGTGTGCATGGAAGTGTACGTGAGTGTGTGCATTCTTGAATGCTTGGGGTTTGCTCTGCGTTTGAGCGAACGTCGTCTTGTTCTGTGCAAACTCTTTCCTCACTGCTTGCCCGTTTCCCAACCTCGTCTTGTATTGCTGCTCCACCATCTCACCCCGACCTGTCACCACCACCTGCGTGCGCGCGCGCGTTGCAGACACGTGGCACCACCAAGTGGAGTCCATTCCCTCCAGCGACTGCGACCACTACCCGCTCCTCAACATCGCCGTCAACCTGTGGTTTGCGCCACACGCCGAGGGGTACGTCTGCACGCGCTAGCATGTGCGATGCTGTGATACTGTTGTGGTGGTTGCTTCCTGTGCTTTCTTGCGCTTCACGTCGGCACACACACACACTCTCTCTCACACACACACACTCACACACACACTCACACTAACTCTCTCACACACACTCTCGCCCTCACACACACACGCACTCTCTCACATTCGCGAAAAATGCAAACTGTTGTGGTGCTGCTGTTTTGTAGCGGCAAGCAGGACAGGCAATCGTTTAATGGCGCCAAGGAGGAGGCGTGAGTACATAATACAGGCATGCAAACGCAAGCAAGGCGTGCGCAAACTCAAACAAGTGAACGGGTGAACAGAACAACTGCACGTTTGAACATCATGATCACACGAGAAGAAGACGACACAACACGCGCAGCAACGTGCTGTTGTTGTAGGGGGAGTGCAGTCTCCTCAACTCAAGGGAGATCAGCTGTCAAGGGTGTGCGTGTGCGTGTGTGTGTGTGCATGTGTGCATGTGTGAGTATGGGAGGTAGCGTCGTGAAGCAGGCCATGCAATACACACACGCACGCACACACACACACACACACACACACACACACACACACACACACACACACACACACACACACACACACACACACACACACACGCGCGCGCGCGCGCGTGGTGTGCTCACCGAGGCTGCGCTTTGGCGGGGGCCCCTTGGGAGCGTCGTCCTTGGGCTTGGCCATCTCTTCATACATGAGGATGCTGCAATGCAGTGCGGAGGAGCAAAGTGAGTGCGAGCAAGCAGCTTGCGGCAAACGGGGGTACGTTGAGCGTGGGTGGCGCGAGGGCACCTCACACAGGCAGATGTGGCAACAACCATGTACACATGAGTGTCAACTGGTGCACAGACACTGAAGCAGACACAAGTACGGAGTCAAGCAGAGGAGGACGCACATGCGGAGGATGGACTTCTTGGGGCCAAGCATCATCTGCACAAACTCGTGGTAGTTGATGGTGCCTGAAGTGCCACACACAATCACACACACACACACCATTGGTGAGAAGTCAAGCGACAAGAGTGCATCCGCTCTCGACGACAGCGGTACACCACTATAAGGGCACAACACGTCTGTGCACAGCGTGCAAACAAACACAAACACCACACGCATGCGTGCGCACCAGAGTCGTTGGTGTCCACTTCGGCAATCATCTTCTTGAGCTCCAGATGGGTCTTGGGCTGGCCACTGCATCGCAAAACCAGAATGCCACAGCGGTTGAGGAAATGAGGTAAACAAAACAAAAGCAGCAGCAGCAGCAGCAGCAGCAGCAGCAGCAGCAGCAGCAGCAGCAACAGCAACACACGCACACACCAACATACACATACACGCACGCACGCAAGCACACACACACACGCACGCACCCGCACTCAGCACAACACACTGCGTTCTTTGCACTTACAGCTTCTCCATCATGCGCTTGAGCTCCATCATGTCAATGTCCTGAAACAAGCAGTGAGAGACGCACACGGACGTGAGGCGAGACGGCTGTGGTCATGTGTACGTTTGCGTGTCCCTCTGAAACCAAAAGCAACACACACACACACACACACACACACACACGCACACACACACACACACACACACACACACACACACACACACACACACACACACACACACACACACACACAGCAGAGAACCAAGCAGCAACAGACACGCAATCCGAACGTACGCCGCTGTGGTCCTCGTCAAACTCCATGAACTTGTGCTTGAACTTCTCCAGCTATGCAAATGTGTGTGTGTGAGTGTGTGCAAACGCCAGCAAGGCAATCAAGCCGTGAGTACATTGCGGCAGTTGTCCCCACCGCACCACTACGACTAATCGCTGGACACAAGCCAAGCCAGCCTGCATATATGGAGCGGGTACCTTCTCGGCGAGGTCGTCTGTTTGCTCATACTTGCCATCGCTGATGATTTGCTGTTGGGGCAATGTAATGTAAACACAGGACAATGTTGAACGCGAACAGGTGTGTGAACGGGAGGTGAAGAACACAATAAGCAAGGTGGGAAAAGCAAAAGAAGGTGCATGCACATACACATACACACACACTCATACACACACGTATGTACCTCGTTGAGGCGGTCCAGTTCAGCGGACTGCTTGTCCTTCAGCTGGCCAAAGGCCTTTCCACCTTGCTTCACTCATAAGAGGAAAGTACTGGGCCCGTCGCATGGGGTTCAATTTGTTGTCGTGACAGATGATCTTCTGCCACACAGACAGACATTACAGTTACATTACATTATGGGCCCGTTCACAGCGAGTAATTGTGGGTAGTTTTGGGTCGAATACTGCGTTCACGGCCACGCAATGTGGAGTAATTGGTTGATCCGACGTAATTGCAAATTACCATCCCCCGACTTGTGAAAGGGTGGTAATTTGGGGTAATGGCGCCGACGGTTGTGCGAAGTCCGGTAACGGTCAGTCGAACCTGTTGCACCGATCGAGCCAACTGAGGACGGTAACTGTCACCTTCCCCCAATATGAGCGTGTTTGGAGAGGGTACAGCCACGAGTACCCACGCCTTTGCTCGTCTACTCGTCTACGTCGCTGCACAGTACAAGCCACGACGGTCGTGGGAGCAGCGCACGTTTCCGAGGTACGCTTTGATCCCAGTATGCATGGCAAACTGCGTTGTATGGCTCTCCCGCATACTCATACACGCGCGCGCGTATGTGTGTGTGTGTGTCGCTCGTTCTTGTCGATGGTGCTGCCGTCCATTAGGCGCGAGAAGGACATCTTTGGCTTGCCAAATGAGACGTTTCGCCAGAACTTCCGTGTCACCAAGGATCAGTTCTGGGAGTTGCTTGATATCATTTCTCCGCACCTCCCCAAACGCCCTGGGACTGACGTGCCCGATCGCGTCGTCCTTGTCGGCCTGCTGTGGATGTTTGCTCACGGCTGCTCTCTTCAGGTGCGTGCGTGTTGCATGTTGTTCCCGTCGTTGATCTTTCCCGTAGGTACTTTGGCCACCTCGCTCACGTGTTGTTTCCGCACGTGTGCTTTGTTCAGGCTGTGCAGTTCTCAATTGGGATCAGCAAGTCCATGTGCAGTACGCACTTCCCCGCGTTCGCCAAGGCGATCATCGATGGACTCGACAACATCTCGTTTCCAACTGGGGAAGAGCTGAAGGAGGAACAGCGGCGATGGGCTCAGGATGACTTCCTCGAGGGCTGTGTCACGGCTGCCGATGGCGTGCACATCAGATACACCCCAACGACGAATGGCCACGAGGTCCGTGAATGACCTACAGTGCCCTGTACTCTATTCCCACTGCTTGCTTGGGCCTCTGCTCTGTGTCCCCATCGTGTCGTTCATTCATATAGCGCCCGCTCTCGTCTCACACCGCTCACGTCCGACACATGGCATGTGCCCACAACGTCGCACTTGCGCATACTTGTGTATGTGTGCGATACAGGAGCGTTGGCGAAACAGAAAGGGCTTCAAGTCCCAGAACGTCCTTGTTTGCGCCTCGTTTGACAGACAGGTTCGCTGTTCTTGTGCGTGCGTGTGTGTGTGTGTCTGTCTGTCTGTGTGTGTGTGTGTGTGTGTGTGTGTCTGTCTGTCTGTCTGTGTGTGTGTGTGTGTGTCTGTGTCTCTGTGTCTGTGTCTGTGCGATGTGTCTGTGCGATGTGTGTGTGTGTGCGAAGCTGTGCCGCCAATTACCGACCCAGGTCACCTCATAGCCTGCCATGATGCGCATCGCACCACAAAGATACAGCACGTCGTCGTTGGCTGTGAGGGCAGTTGCCACGACGCGAGTGTCGTGGCAACTGCTGACCTCACCTCCAAGCTGCCTGAAGGGAGCTTCGGACTATTCGACGCTGCCATGCGCCTGACCCATAAACGGTGAGTGGCCGCTCGCGTGTGTGTGAGAGTGTGTGCATGCGTGTGTCTGTGTGCATGCGTGTGTGAGAGTGTGTGCATGCGTGTGTCTGTGTGTGTCTGTGTGTGTGTTTGTGTCTGTGTGTGTCTGTGTGTGTCAATCGTGTTTGTGCGGTGTTTAAATCGGTGAAGCCTGTTGCCTCACACCGTATGTGTGCGCGGGCGTGTGCGTGTAGAT